AGAAGCCAACTCCACTTCTTGCTTCCGGTCAAAATGTAGTAACTTCCTCTCAGACAGGAGGAGAAAGTCGTCGATGGAGTGCGGTTGAACAGCCTCGAAGAGCCGAAGGAACCGCCGAAAGGGAGAAAGTTACCCTCACAGCCCTCGAGCTCCCGTCTTGCTTCCGATCCCATCCGACTGAGAAGGGAAAATCGTCGAATGAGGGAAAGTTGGTCGGAGGAGCGTGGTTGAACGGCGCAGAGGAAGAGTTCGGGGAAGAGAGCTGGAGCGGAACGAGGGTCAGCGGGAGCGCGGCTTCGTTTCTTCGAGGCTTTTAACGACTCAAAATGAGTCGTTCGGCAATCGTGGGAAGAAGTGACGCGAGATCGTGTCGAACGACGTGCGACGTGCGGGGAACGGCGACGACGTGCGATGGCAGAGAAGGTAAGATTTGGTTGGTTTTTTTTTTTTTTTTTGCTGTAGGGGTCAACAATAGCATGCAATGCTTGGAATATGAAGAAGAAAGCAACTTAAATTTATTTGCAATTCTTGTTTAAGAAGTTGTTGTACTTTTAACACTATTTTGATGTATTAGTATGAACTATTAATATTATACGTTAATTACTCAAGAAAAACATATGATGTGTTAACCGATTTTAAATCCTAAATTGTATTGCCAAACAGTTACAAAAGATTTATCAAGATTTATATTGCTTATTGCCAAACTGTTTTCAGAATTTAACACCCTTAGTATTTTCTAAATCTGTCCTGCTTAAATTAATCCTTGGTGCATCCAAACAGGCCCATAGGATGATGAGATGATCAGAACCCAAAAGCGAGCATAAAAAGATTAAAAATAAATAAATTAATTAAATCGGCATTTTAGATTAAGCCTTTATATTCGCGTCATGCTCTCACCTGACTTAGAACTTTCCAAGGATCTGCTCCCATACAATCTAACTTATTGATAAAAGCAACCCTTGGAACTTCATATCTTCTCATCTGGCGATCAACGGCTATAATAGACTGGCTCTGCACACAACCAACGCTGCCAAGGACAAGTATGGCACCATCAAGAACGCGAAGAGCTCTCTCAACCTCAATAGTAAAGTCCACATGTCCCGGGGTGTCAATTATATTAACCTTCAACCATTAAACCATACATAAAAACTAAAGTTCAACATTCGGAATCATAAACTAGAGAAAACTGCCATTTTTATAGACCTGATAATCTTTCCAGGTGCAGTATGTAGCAGCGGACTGGATGGTGATTCCCTTTTCCCGCTCGAGATCCATGGAGTCCATCTTGGCACCAACACCATCCCGACCTCTGACCTTATGAATCTCGTGGATCCGACCGGTGTAGAAGAGAATCCTCTCAGTAAGCGTCTTCTTACCCGAGTCAATGTGAGCCGATATCCCGATGTT